CCCTGCTCGGTTCACTTGCAAGGTTTCAGGGACTTTCCGCTAGCTGAAAAGCTTGGCTTTGTCTCTTCTGCTAACTTCCACCCCGTGCAAAATAAAGCCCGACTTTTTCCTCCATTCTTTTCCTCGTTTCCCTCTAGAAAAGCATTAATATTTCCTTTTCAACCTGCAGTAAGAGATTCTCCCCTCCCCGAGGTCCCTTCCCTTTGCAGAAAGGTTTGGATACCAAAGGTGGAAGTCTATTTCCCAGGTGGATCCACCCACCCCTTTCTTTGAGGAGCTGCCGCTGGGCCGGTGGTGACGGTGACCTGCAGGGACCGGAAGGGCTCGAGCGGACAGCGTAGGAACAGCTCTGGGGAGGCGGGATGCCGGCCAGGCAGGGATGTGAATTCACACAGAGTTACTGGGCCCTGACATAGCTCCCCTCTCCAGCCAGCCGAGTCAGCTCGGTTTGGTTTCCATGCCGGTCCTCCTCTCTGCTTAAGTTCTCCTCCTCCCAGCTTGAGGTGCTGTTGGGCAGGTCGGGGAGAGCCTGGCACCTCTTACCTGGGAAGGGTAGCCAGGCCCATTCAGGAGATGCCTGGGGTCCCCGTGGCCTCAATGCCCAATGGGGGATCTACAGCCGCCCGTCGTTCTTGAGAGCCCCTGTCAGAGCACGGTGGATGCTTCTGTCCCCCCCATATCCCTTATACGCAGACAGACACAGCCCGGCGACTCTCTCCGCCGGGACGCACCCCCGGGGCTCCGGCGGCGGCCGGAGGGAGCCTGGCTAGTCCGGGCCTCCCCCCCTGCCTCCCCGGGCAAGGGATGGGATGAACTGTCCTTTGTCTCACGCTGGGTTTGGGCTCGGCGGATTACTGGCTCGGGCTTTTTTTTTTTCCTTTTGACTCCCTCTCTCTTTCCCTCCCCTTCTGTTTTCCTGGCGGCCACTTCCATGTGGAGCCGGGGCAGCTCGGGGAGCCGAGAGGAGCCACATTCCTGTGGGTGCCGAGCGGCTCCAGGGCTGAGCCACAGGGCTTGACATACACACAGACGCACAGACACACAGGCGCACAGGGAGAGGAGCCTGCAGCCCCGGCTGCCCCAGACCCAACGCTCCCTACTCTGCCCGCTCCCCTGGGGCTCTCCCACTCACAGCAGATCCAACATCCCCTGCGCTCACCCACAGATGGGGCACACGCCCACAGCACCCACACCCGAACCTGCGCACCGACACCGGGGGAACCCCTTCTCTCGTTCCCCAAAGCGCCCTCGCTGCTCCCGCCCGGCAATCTCCCCCTCCGTCCGGGGGAGCGCCGCTGCCACCTCGCCAAGCCATTCGGGTTCCCTCCCCCTTCACCTCAGGGGAAAGCAGCAACCCACCCCTCCAACCCGTCGCCGCCTCAAGGCAGCCCGGCCCGCTCTCCAGGCTGTTCTGTAGCCCTCGTCTCCCTGCGGTGTCCCCCATAAATTCGGTCCCCCCCCGGGCGCTGCCCGCTCCGCCGCCGGCAGCACTCTATCCCGAGCGTGCATTGCACATGTGGCATCCATTACAGATTTCTACCACGCAGTTTTGCGACTGACAGACTTTAGGTGGTTCGGTTGTGGATTACGGAAAGGAGATCTATTGCTTCAGGAAAATCGGGGGGGCGGTGGAGGGGGACAATCCCCTCTTCTTTCTCTCAGTCATTTCAGCGGCTGCCTGCAGTAACGCAATAACCTGCTTTATAGGTCAGACAAGAGCCGTGAAAACAGGAACCGCGGAGTTTACATTAAGCCTCCATTTCTCTCTCTTTTTAGGGAGAATCTCTGTTGCATCAATTCAATGTTTCTCCTCTTTGTTCGGCAGTGCGCCTATTTCCATGCGATGTGGGAGGATAAGCAATGGTTTATCTTCTATCCTCTAAGATAAACCAGGACTACAGACCCGATAAATCCCGACACGCACCCACGCCCCGGGTATCTGTGTGAACACCTTCCACGGACACGACCTTCAAAGCCGCAGGAAAAACTCCCAGCCCCCCTCGCCTCCTCACCCTTTAGGTGAGGGCCCGGCCAGGATCCACGATGGCTCCAGTCCTTGGCACGGAGGAGCCTTGAGATGGCTTCTTGCTACCTCCTGCTCCTAGGCAGTCCGGAGAGGTTGCCTAAACCTCAGCCTGAGCTTTGCAGCAGCGATCAGCGAGCCTTGCCGGGCCGGATCCTGACCTGGCTCCATGCTCTGCAGCGCATCCCCTGTCTGACTGTGGGGCTGTCCCTCCATCCCAGGGAATACTCGCCGTCTCCTCCATATGCATCGTATAACCCGCTTCATAGGGCTTTCTCCTCGCGGTATCCACTGAGCGTTCTTTTCCCTTTCTTCGCGTTATTTTTTATTAATTTTAATATAATTAATTTTATTAATTCCCGTGCAGAGGACGACAGGACTGCAGCGGGGGGGGGGGGGGGGGGCTGGCCGGTGGGCAATAAGGGCCCCCTCCTGACTGCTCTCAAGCCGCCCCTGCCCTGAGGTACCTGTCGGCGGGACAGCAACACCACTTTGATGATTTGGGCCACTAAAAATGAAGCAGGTTTGTGCATTTCGTGTCCAGGGTTAATAAAACCTAATCAGGAGTGGAAAGCCAACTAACCCAATGAGTTAACCTCGCTAGCTGCAGGTAGTCCTGTTAGCCAGGCTCTTTCAGTTAATTAATTACAATTGAGTCGGTTCTGTGATAATTTCCTCAAGGACCCCTGAGGACTGGTCCAGCGGGAGCGCAAGAGGCGGCGGACTCTGCAGCTTCCCGCGGAGGGAGCGCGGGCCCCGTGTCCCGCACCCCTCACCTTCCCCGCCCGGCTACGAGGCTCCTGAGGCTTCTTCCCCCAAGCTGTGGTTCAGGAACCCGAGAGGAAGCAGAGGACAAGGGGGACCCCGCTTCTGGGGACGAGTGGGGACCCCGCGGGTACCGGGAGAGGCTGCGGAAAAAGCGGAGCCGGGAGGTGGCCTAGGGCAGAGGAAGCCTGGAGCATCCTCCTCCCCCTCCTGCACATCAGGCTCTCCCTCCTCTGGATTTGGACACGTAGCGATTCAGACCACTGATTTGTTATTTTCTTAATTCCCGCTCTTCTCATTCCCTATGAATCAAACAGTCTTTTGTCCTTCAGAGTTTGATTTGATCGCTACTGTTCACATTTCACTTTTGTATTTTTCTCTCCCTATACCATTACTCATTGAGTGCCCCGTGAAATTACAATCGTACATTTTCAACTCAGCAACCCATTTGCAGTGCAAAAATAGGGTCTAAATAATGGCTGAATTAGCCCTACTGGACAGTTTCAGATGTAACACTCTGTAATAATTATATTGCAGGCTGGATTAGGATGCTATTATCATAATCTGGACGTTTACAATTATCTGTAATTTGCAAAGATGCGCCAGGTCTTGATTACAGCAGGGTTTTTTTTATCAAGCTAACCATCACTAAACAGTGACAGTAATAACAGCTAATTTTGCTGGCAATATAAGAGGTGCTGGGGTGTGCAAACAATTTCACACCTGGATGTGCTCACTCAACCAAGAATATAGAGAAAGAGCTTCTGCCCTGAGACTCAGAAAAATATTCTCCACTGCTTCTGTTCAGTATAGATTTCTAGACCCCGAGCCTTGCTTAGCAGATTTGCACAGGGGGTAAGTTTTGGGGCTCGCTTGGGTTTGGGGTCGCTTTGTGGCTGCTTCGCGCCTTCCCGGTCGAGGCTCTCTCCGTCCCTGCTCGTTCCCCAGCTCCCGCGGTCACTCTTGCGCCGGTGGTTTCCCTCGGCGAGCCGGACCCCGACAGCTTTGCACCCCTTTTTACCCTTCCTGTGCTGCCGCGGGCAAGGGGACGGGGTGGATCCCTACGGAGCGCCCGGCGGGGCTCGGCGTCCAGCGGAGAAATCCCGCCAGCCCCCGGACCAGCCCCGGGGCTGGCCCCGGCTCCCGGCCCTCGCGGTGGGGCGGCTGCAGCGCGGCTGTCCGTGGCGCCCATCCCGCGGCCTCGGGGCGGTGGAGCCCTGCTGCGGGCGGGAGGTGGCGGAGCGGCGGCAGGTTGGGGGCTGGCGTGGGGAGCTGCTGCCGCTCCATCCATAGATGACGCTGTTTCACGAGAGTCTCCCGGGGCGGCAGCCGCGAGTGGGAGCCGGCGCTACCGCTGCTGCTATTCGCTCCCAGGCAGCTCTGGGGAAGGCCTGCCCCCCGCACCTTCGCCCACTCTGCGGAGCTAATCCGGCTTTTGTATTATTACGATGATGATAATTTATTTGTTTGCTTGCTTGCTTGTTTGTTGCCTGGGCTTTATTTAAGCCTATCTGAGAAATCATTGGTGGGGGAGGAGGGCAAGGCGCTCCCACAGGCTTTCCGCGCCGGCACCCACGGTGGCACCGGACGGGCCCCCCGAAATCTCATGACAAGCAGCAACCCCCTTCTGGCACCCCTTGGGCCGCAGGCGGAGGTGGGGCGGGTACGGGACCGCCCGCTGCCATCCCCAGTCGAGGACTGCAGAGAAAGGGTTAAGGCGCTGTGGGGCCATGGGAGCCGGGAGCAGTCGGGCCGGGCTCGGCTGGAATCGGCTACGTTGGACCGGGATCCCTGGGCTGCGGGACTCCCGCAGAGGGGCGTCCGACGCCCTCCGGGGGGTGGAGGGGAGGGTAAGCCCCCGCAGGGGCCTGCCTGGGGCGGGCGGGGAGGGTAAGGCAGGGCTCCCTGAAAGATGCGCACACACACACAGACGCACAAATGCTGTTGGTTTAACTGTATGGTAGCTTTCTCTCCAGTGTCATTTGAATAATTCAGTGAGCCCCACTACCAGCTGTACTTCTGAAGCCTCTTCCATTCTTTTCAGCATTATAATTTTGGTTAATTTTCAATTTTAGGCCCTACGTCTCTGCAATTTGTGTATGAATAACAGAATAATTTTCCTCTTTTGTTTCGCCTTTCCTGTTCCTGAATCTAAATAAAGATGGCTTTTTAGTATTAAAAGTGGAAGAAAATTACAGGTAATTATCTTTGACGGTAAAAATGCTGTAATCAGCGGGCTACATGAAAAATTACTCTAATTATGGCTGCATTTAAGAGAATGGAAAAAAAACCTTCTTGTGGATAAAAACCTTAAATTGTCCCCAATGTCTGCTTCAAATTGGATGGCACTGCAGCTGGAGGCTTTGTTCAGAATTGATCCTGGGGAGCTCTGAACCCAAAGTTTCACAGTGGGAAGGGGAAAAAAAGAAAAGAAAACATTTTTCCTAATGTAACAATACGAATGGTAGAAAATGACAAGACTGATCGGTTTTAAACCACTCTGAAGACTGACTGAGCGTGGAAGTTGCTCAAAAAAAAAAAAAACAAAAACACCCCCCAAAAAACTGGTATGTTGGTAAGTAGTCTTTGCTTTGTGTCTAATTATAGTGACTGTCCTTTTGCACGACTGTATGTAGCTGTCATTATATGGAGCACTCTGAGGATCTCTATTGACTTCTGATAAATGGCTCAGTGGTTTCAAGGTTCATAATTTGAAGGATGCCCAGGTCTCTAGCCATTAATTCTCGCAGTATGGGGCACCCAGCTTGGCTGAGGAAAGGGCTTTTCATTGTCAGGCGTTGCTGTGCTTTCCACAAGCTGGTGCGGCTGGGGCTGGCCGGGCAGCGCGGTGTTTGCCTGGGCACCTCTCAGGGCTCTGCAAAACATTCCTCCGCTTGCATTGTCTGCTCTGGAAAAACAAAGGAGGGCGCCTCCTTTCTTAAGAATTTGGAGGCTCCGAGCTTTGGGAAGAAAGGCAGGGCTCTGGGCTTCGCCTTGGCGAGAAAGCTCAGCTCAGCTGAGCGGGGGAGCAGGGAAATCGCAGCAGAAATGGCCGGGTGATGGGAAAATTCTTCTAGGCTGATCTTTGCGCTCTCGCTTATTTCCTGTGCTAGTCGTAGCCTTAAACCCAAACCACCAGCTACCCCCCTGTCCCCTCGCTCCGTCTGTGCTGGCAGGTGTATGCTCAGGTGGGGGGGGGAGGATGTCCGTGTGGGCAGGCAAGCAGGGGGCAGCGTCCAGCTGCCCGGACTGAACTGGTTTTGGGGGGTACACACCGGTTCGGAGGTGGAGAGAGAGAATGAGGAGCCAGGCGGGCGTTTTGTGGCTTTTACTCTATATATGAAAGGAGACAAAACCATACAAAGTATATGTACAACTAAAATTCAACAATATATACAGAAAGGTTGCTCGGGGGGAAGGTCCCTCTCTCTCAAGGGTGAGGCTGCCGGCGGGCAGCGCTGAACCTTCCTGCCTTGCCGCCGCAGCGGGTCCTGCCGCGGATCCCTCGCTGTCCGTCCTGCTCGTCTCCGGGAGTCTGTCCGGCTGTGTGCGGGTGTGTGTGCGCGGGTGGGGGGCTCTTGGCGGGAGAGACAGTGGTTTCTTGGGAGCCGCAGCCCGTTGCATTTTGAGAAAGCATGCAGGTTTTGCTTCGTGGTAATGTTCTAATCTTACAGTATGTTTTCATTTTTTCAACCATTTTTTCTTCCCCTCTTCAGTTTTTTTTAATCCCTTCTCCTGTCTTTGAATTTTCCCCCCCCAGTCCGGATTTGGTGAATAAAAATGAAGGAGCTTTGACTAGTCCCTCTTTCATCATGTAATGTCTTTAGCTCATTAAACAAGTAAAAACGGCTGCCATGGTAGATTCAGGTTCTTCTTGTGGGCGAAGTCTGTAAAAAGTTTGTTTTGACGTATACTCCACAGAGAAAGAGGCTGGTGCCCTGGAGTCCAAAGGAAAATATCCTAAAGAGAAGTGTCTTCTGTGCGCCAGAATGAAAATTGTGTCTTTCTGTTCGAGATCAATCGTTGAGGTTACTTAAAAAAAAAAAAAAAAAAAGCAAAAATAAAAGAAAATGAAGCCACTCTGTCTCTTTGCCGCATCTACAAGTTCACACAGAGCCTGTTAGCTGGCACGGCTTGGCAAAGCAGGGGAACTTCTTGCCATGTCGAGACGAGGCGTTCTTGGGAGATTATTTCTCTTGGACAATTCACATCATTTGTGGTCTCTGCATTGTGTCTTGATGTGGAGAAGAATACCAGTGAGAATAGCCAGGCATGTAGCTGTTGGGAGGCATATTGACTCCCTTGGCAGAAGCTGAAACGTCCCAGACTGGAGGCAGAGCCGGAGAGCGCGGGGAGAGGGCTGCGGAGCCGGGCAGAGGGTCGCTCTCGTGGGGGTTGCTGCCCTGCTTCAGCAGCTTCTTGAACTTGGAGCGCTTGTTCTGAAACCAGATCTTCACCTGTAGAGCAAAACGCAGCGGGTATTAGGCTGCCGTCAGCACCCAGAGCAAGGCAGGGGAGCCCCTCGGGGCTGGGGGTTTCTCTAGAGAAGGTCTGGAGAGCCCACGCCAGCCGGGTGAGGAGTGAGGGATAGGGAGAGGGGAAGGAAGGGTAGCTGCTGCTGCTGCTCTCGGGCTCTGGATGCAGCTTCAGAGAACAGGAGAGGCAGAGCGGAGCTGGAAAGCGTGAGGGATGCAGGTTTTAGGCTAGAACGTTATTTTCTCTTGGGCAGGCCAGAGTGATTGAACTGCAGCAGAGTACGTGCTCAGCACTGTCCTGCTTGAACGCCTCATTCAGAATTTTGGAGGTCATTTGATCATTTGGACAAACTGTTGTCAAACACGGGCAATCATATGATTTTGTGCCAGGAGACAGGAGCCAATAAACAAAGGGCATCTTACAAAGAAAGCACGCATCCAAAAACATGCACGATCAAGCGGTCCTTGGTGATGTGACGGGGAAGGAGGCGCAATGGAACCAGGACTGTGGCTTTATTTTAGAAGTTGTATTTAAAGAAAGGAAAATGCTCTTTTCTCGGCGAGTATCTGGTTATAGAGATTGATTTGGGTCTCATCCTGCTCCTAATCCAGTAGAGCTCCAGCGGAGGGAGCCTGCATTCCAAGAGATGTGCAAGGATCGGGCCCACTCTGGCATGTCAGAATTGTTAAAGGAATTATATATGTAAAGCATATATAGACACATACTTCTTAAAATCTGTCAAAGAAAACAACTCTTCTTAAAATTATACAAAGGAAACAACTCCCACACGTGCATTTGACCTTGCAAACTTTACAGATATAATGCTAGGGCAAGGCAGGGGTACTTGTCTAGCTGCATGCTCAGGATCGGGCCCCTAAAACCAAATCTCTGAGTACGAGAAAGCAAGCGAGACAGCAATGAGACAGAGTGTGCATGGTAAGGATGCTAAAATCCCATTTGAAAAACCATCAGGTCTATTCCCATGATTAATGTTTGCCGAGTACTTAAAAATCGCTGGCTGGAAGCGACTGTTATCAACAATGATAAAATCCTGAAGTTGTTTGTTAAGCTCATAAATTCCCATGATTACATTTTACCCGAATTGATCCCATCTATCCATGCACTTCCCCGCAAACCCCAGCCTGGGAAGCCTGTAATGCCTCATGTGTCTTTCAAGCTTAAATTAGTCGAATGGCACAGCTACTCCAACCACACTTAACTATGGCTTAACCTGCCATAATTTTGTACACGGCTGTCTTTGATCTTCAGATCTATTATCACCTTTCGTACATTTTGCCCAAGGGTAACCGCTGCGTTTGCGTTAGTCATCCCGGGTGAATTAACTATTGATTTTACAGGTATTTCCTAACCTGTTCTTGCCTCCCCTCTGCCTAGAGGTTGCTACGAGGCAGCTTTGCCTTGCTTTCAGCTCTACCTCAGGCCCAGCGATCCCTCGCCTTTGTTTTGTTCTCCTTTTCACAGCTGGGCAGCTGCATCTCGGTGGCTGGGATGATCCGAAAAGACAGGCAGTTTTAAAATGTTATGTGTGTCATCGAAAGGGAGCCCTTGCTCGCCAGACGGCCGAATCCCGCTCCCTCTGCGGCAGACCGGTCTCTCTGTCGTGCATTAGGTAAATCCTGTCACGCATAGCTGGGGACCGTGTGCGATACCTTCGCTACCGCTCCCGCACAGAGGCCAAAACGTTTGGGGAGCATCGTACTGTGCTTGGCCTTTATCGCTCGAGCAGGATTTCAGTGATTTGGGATTCCCAGTAATTACCTGTGTCTGGGTAAGTCCTAATGAAGCTGCCAGCTCAGCTCTCTCTGGAAGTGCCAGGTACTGAGTCTGCTGAAAGCGATGGTTTAAAGCCTGGAGTTGTAGACTAGAGTAAATGGTTCGAGGCTTCCGAATCTTTTTCCCTTTTCCATTGAATCTGATTTCACCGTTTTCAATCACTGTGGTTTTTTGCTGATCTGCAAGCGAAATAACACAGCTGAAACATCTCCTATTTTCCCTATTTAGAGCAGGCGTTTTGGCTGCCCCACGGCTCCCCTGAACGCTGCAGCCTGCCCCGGTGCCGGTGCAACATCACCTCGGACACAGCGGCTGCCGCTGGGGAGATGCCGGGGCTGTGGGGGGGCGGTGGGGAAGGAAACTATCATCCGGGCAGGCTGGGCACTCTGCCCTTCCTCGAGGGAGAAAAACTACTACTAGTTGAACAGATATATAGGAAAACAAATTGCAGGGCTGGCTTCGTGGAGGGATGCCCGGGTCCAGGGCCATCCAGGTTCGAACCAGCTAACTGACTTCGCGTCGCCGGTTTGGTGGTCAGTGAATCACCAGTCCGAGACTGTTAACAATGCTCCCTCCCTCCCTCCCCCCCCCCCGCCGTGCCCCTCCGGATGAATACATACAAATAAGCGTCTCCCAGAAAAAAATAATAAATAAATCAGGCGGCCCCCGAGCGGAATGCGACCCGCTCGCCTGGAAACTTTCACTCCTCAGGTGTTAGCAGGAATTTTGCCTAAAGCTGGTCCAGCAGTAACAAAGGAGCGCCGAGCTTAGTCCCCTGCCCGCCGGCCGCGGGGCTACCGGGGAGGCGCCGGTACCCAGCGCCGTGGTCCCTCCGGCAGCTGCCGCCGGCTCTATGGGGGGAAGCACGGCGGCCACTCCGCCGGGCACGACAAGGAGTAGGCCCTCGGGAACGAGCAGCCCCCGCTTCTCTCCCCGCCGCCCCGCGCACCCCAGTGTCAGCGTCACCCGGCGGGAGCGGGGGGCACGGCGGGGGTCGCTGTGCGGGAGCCCAGAATGAGTCCCGGGGATGGTGGAGAGAAGGACAAAGGGGGGGCTGGCGGCTGGTCGGGGAAGCGGTGCCGGCTCACCTGAGTCGTCTGCTCGCGTCTGGCTGGCCGCGCTGCTGTTGTGGTAGGACTGGAGGTACGGGCTGTGCTGCGAGTGGCTCACGTAGGGGTAGGCTGCCAGCGAACGGTGGTTGTAGGAGCCGGCGGTGCCGGAGTAGGGCGAGCTGTGGTGGTGATGCTGGTGGTGCGGATGCGAACCGGCGGCGGAGTGCAGGCAGTGCAGCGGGTAGTGGGCGCCGGCCATGGCCGGCGAGCTCTGCTGGGAGTGGGGCGGCGGCGGCGGCTGCGGCGGCGGCGGCTGCTGCTGCCCGAACTCCATGAAGGCGGATTTCGAGGAGTCTTGCGCGTCCAGCCCGTCAGCCATCGTAGTCATGGTCATCATCAAAGTTTGGGAGGGAGAGCGCGGCGCTCCCCGGCTCGCCCCCCGTGCTCTGCCTCCTCTCTGCCCAGCCACCGCCGCTACCCTTACCCGCCGCGGCACCGCTGGAGAGGCAGCGGGGATTTAATTTAATTTCTTTTTTTTTTTTTTTTTTATCCCCCCCCCTTTTTTTTTTCTCTCCTTCTTTTCCGCCTTTTTTTTTTTTTTTCTCCTTCCCCCCCTTCCTCTCCAAGAGTCGTTGTGCGAGGGGCCTCGTTCACTGAGGGAGGGGAGGAAGGGGAGGGCGGTGTGCGGGGTGTGTGGAGGGGGAGGGCGGGCTACTCCAGCCGCTTTTTTGCGCCGCTCTTTTCCTTCATCCCCCCGGCGCGTGGGGTGGGTTGTGTTGTTTTTTTTTATTTTGGGGGGGGGGGGGGGAGTGTGGGAAGAGAGCGAGAGAGGAGGGCCGGGAATACGGGAGGAAGAAGAAGGAGGGAGGCGGGGGGGGGGGGCTGGGAAAGTTGTGGGGCTCCGCGCTTCGACTTGAAGGGCAGGGACGCGCATAAGTCGAATGGTTCGTCTCCGGAGGGCAGCGCCTCCCTCATTGGTCACTCAACCCCCTGACGTCACCGCCCCGGCAGCGCGCGCGCTGCCCGCCCCCCTTTCTCCCCCCCCCCTCCCCTTCACCCCTCGTCTTTTCCCCACCCGTGCACGGGGCGCGGAGAGCGCATCGTGAGCGCTCGGTTCCTCGCACACGGGTGGGGAAAAGGGGACGGCCTGCCCCTATCTCCCCCTCATCACGCTTTCCCCGCCAAAATCACGCATCCCCCCTCCATTCTCCCCTTTCATTACCCCCCTTTTCTCTCTCTCCCTTCTCCTTGCGCGGTATTTTCAGCGAGGCGAAGTGTCGCGCAAAGCGTTTTCAACACGCACGCCCCCCCCCCCCCGTTGAAAAGCGGCGTCGGCAGCAGCTCCCCATAATGGCTTTCAAATATATGCAAATGGCTACGTGCGGTTGGCGGTTTTGGCAAAAGCTTGATTAGGATATAAACGACCCGAGGAAAAAAAAAAAAAAAAAGAGAAAAAAAAAAGAAAAGAGAAAAAAAAAGTGCCTGCGCCCTAAATTTGTCTTTAGATTACAATTCCAGTTGATTTTATTTTATTGTCAACATTGTTAATGATAAAAATAGAGTCGTTTTACGGTTATTTTTACTTTCTGGAAGGAGGCAATTAGACTTCTAATCAGGAATACACAAAAATCTCCCATGATTAACTGCAGTACTTTGTTCAAATTGCTGCTATAAAATTCAGAACAATTTGCCTGTAATGATTATGGACTGGGTTTATTTTGGGAGGTGGAATAAAAGTGGATATAGCATAAATTATCCTCTAATTATACACCAGTGTCGCCTCAATTATCCTCTTATCAAAATGGTTGTCTAACTGCCGCATTTAGTTTCAATTCTCTCCTTTTTTCTATAAAAAGAACTTCATACCTTGTTATTATTAATCCATTTATTATTTGCAAGGGGATTTATATCCGAACATCCAGGTGGTATTACCACTTCTCTTTCAAAGATGGACTAGGGAAAGACATTAAGTTTGATCCGGCACGGCGGAGGATCTCTCTCCCCTCTTCTCTCTCTCCCCCCTCTCTCCCTCACTCCCTCTCTCTTTTCTTCCCCCCTTTCCCTCTCTTAAATCTCCTGGCGTCCAGCTAAGCATGAACTCCGGAGGCAGACCCCACCGCAGAGGACTGAGGTAGGAAGGACCCGGCGGAGCTCTCTAAGCCTAGAGAAATCCCGAACTCGCTCTAGACGGGGAAATGGGCTGAAGGCTCCGGGCTTGGAAAAACAACACCGGCATCGGCAGCTGCCGCTTGCAGACCCCCGAGACCCCTCCAGCCCGAGCGTGGGTCCTGACACTGCCTCTCCCGGCCACATCGCCTGGGGATCCGCGTCTAGATTTTCCAGATCTTTTTTTTAACGCCTCGGTTTTTTTGAAATGTTCAGAGTGGGGTTTTATTTCTTTCTGGGATTTTTCCCCCTTTCCCTTTCTTCGTTTATTTTGAGGATTTGTCTCTCCGCAGCCCGGTCATTACCCCTGGGGAGCCGACGGATGAGAGCCCCCTTTTGCATACCTCACCGTCCGAGGGAGGAGGGCGGAGGGGAAGGGGGTGCGAAGCGATGCTCGATCGGTTGCAGGGCATAACCCACAGCGTCTCGGTGCTTATAGTTCAGCTGGCTTATTTCATGAGGGGGAGGAGGGGGGTGTCTTTTCTCCTGGGCGGCTGGGATGTTTGGAGCTCCCTTACCCACCCTCTCACCGTTGTTTCACTTCTTGAGCCCTTGGAGCCGGTTCAGTAACTCTGAATGCAGTTGTAAGTGTCTTGCCTTGTTCTCCTGCTTTTAACAAGTGTTCCACTTTAACACGCGAAAGGGTAACCCGATCCAGGCGTTTACAAATCTACAATGAATAAAAATATAGAGAAAGGGGAAGAATTCCTACTGGGACTCTTTATTTATAGGTGTAGGTAATGTACTCAATAGGAACAGGTACATTTGGCAGTTTTATTGCTTTATCCCCTCCAGCTTGCTATTAAGATCACGAAGGCGTTTTCTCGCAGGTGCACATACTAGCACTTTCTCCAGCAGCAAGAGCGTGCAGAACAAAAGGTGTCAGAAAATAGGCTGGGGAGGGTTTGCAACACGTTGCTTTCTGATCTCGAAATAATTCCTGCCGCATAAGGGGTGTTAACTCGGGAATGAGGGAAAGATGCGAAGGAGAAGAGACCGGTTTGAAATAACACCTAAGTGCCGCGAAGGGAATAAGGCGTCTGAGTTAGGCAACGTGAAACAAAAAGGAGAAGAGGAAAAGGGAGGGAGAGTCTGCAGAAGCTGCTCCCTTCCATAGGGAGCAAACGAGGTTACATGTGCACCCCTCGCTCAGCCTAGCTGAGAGCGAACTGCGGTGGTGCGAGCGAGTGCCGCACCCGGGTCACCGGCAGCGGCTCCGGGTGCGGATTCGGGGAGAGCGGCGGAGCCGGTGAGGGGGGAAGCGCGGGCCACCCGGCGCTGCTCTTACCCCGCGGTGCTCAGACATCCCCGTCTGTCGGCAGGGCAGTTGACTCCATCCAGCCTTACACAGATCATTTCCCCCAGTTTAATTAGGCCCACAGGGGGGGTGGAGGGCAAAGAGGGTCTGGGGGGCAACAGGGGCCAGAGCCGTGCCCTGGTAGAGGAGGCAGTTGGAGGGGTATTACTACTCCGAGGGAGGGGCAGGCCCCCGGCCCGCGCTTTACCGGGAGCTGCCGGAGCGGCAGGAGGTTCGGCGCTACCGGGCACCGGTCCTCCCCGGCTCCGGCTTGCGTGCAGCCGAGTTCCGTGACCGGCCGGCCTCCTTCTAAGAAATTAGATCTGTTATCAGTAGCTCTGAAAGCACTGGAGCAGTGGGGTGCTCATTTCCAGGAGGGTGACTCATGAAAAGGGGGATAGGGAGGGTGGCGCACCTCCTAGTCCCCTTGCACTGAAGAGATTCTTGAAGAGAACAGACAAACAGTCACTAGTGGGACACGGAGCTCCAGGGTCGCCTGGTCTCTGCCAAGCTCCCTTGGGAGCTCCAGCACAGCCAGGCCAGAAGGGGCAAGGTCCGAGTTACGGAGCGGGCCCCCCTCCCCGCCCCCCCCCCGCTGCCTGGGAAAGGCAGCAGGAGCCCATTGCCTGTGACCCCACTGCCTGGCTTCTCCCGACGATGGAGGCTGCAGACCTGGCCGAGGGTGTTAGGGATGCTCCGGACCGTGGACAACACCGCGTCCTGCCCTAGCATCCCCGGCCGGGTTTCTCCTCCTCTCATCCCCCCAGTTTGATCTCCCCTGGTGATGAGCTCCGTAAGGCACCCTCGCTTGGCTGGGTGGCAGGGAGGCCTCTGAACCCCGGGAGGTACTAGGGCTAATCCCTGTCCTCCCCCCGACTGGCTGGGAGCTGCGGGAACAGCGCGGCTTCCCTTCCCCCTCTCACTCCCCCCCGCCCCCGGTGCTCCTCTCCTCCGCTGCCGCGGTGACGGGCGGAAAGCGTGGCACGGGGTTCCCTGTGCCCCAGGACTGGGTGACTTCGTGTTACCGGTTCTTAGTGTCACTGCGTCGCTTTAATGATGTTTGTGGCTAATACTTTCTAAAGACCAAACCTTGTCTGCGTGGTTTAAAGACACATTTGTGAGTCGAAAGATGTCACACAACAGACACAACAGTTAGAAGGAGCTGACGAACAACAGGAAACGGCGTTCTATTTTTAGGGCATAATAGGAAGTTAATGTAAGCGGCCAGAGGCTTCCTATATGCCTCCGAGCACCTTCTGTTCCATTCATTCATTCATTCGTTCATTCATTCATTCATTCATGCGATCAACAATAACAACAGGGGAAAACAAATATTCCCGTTCCGCTTCTCATCCCCTCCTTCCCGGGAAGTCCCGCTCTGGGGTTTGCACGGGTGGGCTCTGCACGTGGAGACGCTCTTTTGGGTTGTTTAGCTGTTTTGCTGGTTTGGGGGAGGTGGTGGTGGGGCTGATGGCATTCCTCAGTCTCTCTCTAGGTGCTCTGGCTGGGGGGTTCCCGCCAGCAGAAGGGGTGCGCAGGGGCTTAGGGCTGCTCTCAGGGAGCATGTATCCCTCCTCCCTTGTTCACAACAGAGTGCGGGATAGTGTTTTCTGTCCCACCCCGGCCAGGGTGGCTGGAAAGATCTATCAGGAATTATGCTATTGCGGGTTTTTCCGCGGTATGTCCATGTACATACACGAAGCGGACCTTTCGACAAGGTTTTTAAACAGGGCAGAGAAATGCTGGTGGGGAGAGGCAAGGGTTAGTGAGGGATCCCCTGCTTTTTTAGCAACAGGACGGAATCCACAAAACAATTGTAAAGTGCGAAAGAGCGGGGCTCTCCTGCTGGATGGTGGTGGTGGTGGTGAAATCTCGGGAGAAGTGGAAAGCAGGAGAATATTCCCGCTAGCGGGGATCTACTCCAGATGGGTTTTTGCTGAGGGGCTCCCCCCGCAAAGGCACGGGGCTCTCCCCGGCACCCCTACCCTGCCAGCACAGCTCTGCCAGCGTTACGTACAGCTCCCGAAGAAGCTAGAACAAAATATCGCCTTGCATCCGCCGACGGCATTTTTATATCCCCCCTCCCCACACACACACACACTCCGTCTCTCTCTCAAGTCAGTTTACCCCAAAACACATGGCCTCCTCTCTTTCTGCCAGCATGTCATATTGCCATCGTCTTAATAGCAGCTGAGTGGTGAGCAAAGGCTCCCGCAAAAGGAGGTCACCTCCTCAAGCTGGAAGCGGACCATTTTAAGGAGAGACATTGGGGAATTCGAGCGCTGCCAGTGCAAGAGCAAGAGCGGAGAGGAGGCTCCTCTGGATTTCAACCCACTAACATTATAACAGACAGGCAGGCGTCAATGGCTTTC